GAATTAGAGTCTCTAATAGTTGCTGACTGACAGCAAGCCTTGGGAAAATAAAAAGCCACCTCTGGGAATCGAACCCACTGCCTAACGATCTGATAACCGCGACCTTAACCATTTGGCCATTTCAAACAAGTTGTATGTAGACGTTCATATTAAGAAGATAAAACCATTGACCTTACTGCACCTTGCTATGTGAAGACAGAGTGATTAAAACGCTAGAATAGCGTATAACACTACACTACATGTACACACAAATAATGGTGGTCAACATTAAATGTTCTCCTTGACAGCTTCTCCTTATTATTTTGGATGTGCGTGTTAATGTGGGCAAGTGCCTGGTGAACGTCTGGACACCTGGCTACATGCCCGAACTCTTTCATAAGATTTTGTGAATTGGTCGGAAAGGGGACGTATTTTCGATTTCTTTACTTGTACAAAATTACAGCCGAACGTTGAATCAGGAACCCAATAGTTCTGCTAATGTTATGTGTGGCGGGTCTGATCTATGGTGTAGCTCTTCAGACACATTGCCCAGTGAAGAGAGCCTCTGTACAGCAACTTCCGTCTCTATAAAGATGTAGCTGAAAAGTGAGCAATTTTCCTGTCATGTATATTCATTTTTAACATGAGGACTTTAAGTTGTGGTAGTTTCAGTTGTGAAATGTTGATGTGAATACACCGGTGTGCTTCTCCTTATTACTTCGTGCATTTTCTCATCAGTCCTTTTTTTTACAGTCCAATCTTTCACTGAAGCTTTCTCCCGGGATAGCCGCTCACAGTTGTGTCCATGAATATGGAAATTATCATTCGCATGAACACAAATAAAGGAATTTTGAAACAAACGGTGAAAGTATGTTTAACTGAGACGGACAGGTGTATTTTGAAGGTTACTTTCAAACTGTAGGCCTAACTTGGATAAAGATGCAAGATGGGTTTTCAATGAATATTCAAATTTTATTTATATATCACGTGATCACGTCATCGTTTATGCCATTTCACAAATGTCAGTCTGAGTACAAGCCAGTTTTAGAGCAAAGATTCTAAAGGTCAAGACTCTGGCCCGCAATCCGTAAGACTAAGGTCAAGGCTTAACCCTCAAGGTTAAGGCCCTGCAGAGTAAATTTACTACAAAACTATAAAACATGTCACATCATAACGAATCATGACATTAGTATCGTCAAATAATTGGCAAAAAAATTCAATGCCAGCCTATTCGTTATTTTATTTACAGTGATATAAAATTCCGTGATTGATAGATAATAATGCATTGAGCTCTGATTGATAAGATAAGATCACGGTGTGGAAAGTGAGGCAATTCTAATTAGCAAAACGTCGGTTTCCGAGCTCAGTAGGCCCCTATACTCAGAGAGACGTGATCTACAGTCCACACCATAGATCAGAGAATATTCTGCAATCCTGTCCAAAATTGTTGGGACACGTATCAATAGGCACTGTTACGCTCCCCAGGTCCTCCTATCCCCGGTCAATGTTTTCATCTCGAGCTGGAGCGCAGGCCGCGCACTCATGAGACCCAACATTGGGTGGAGCCCAACGAGAATTGGCCAGGACTGTCATGAATGCAGTTCATATTTAAAGTTAGGTACCGGTAATTTGCAGAGGCTGGTGTGATTCTGTAATACAAGTAGTAGGCCTAATATCGCTTTAGAAACAAAGAGACGACTACGTACAGCGCATGTAAGTCAACATGTCGCGAGAACAGTGCACTGACTGCTGTCGTTTATTGCTTGTTTAGAAGTATACAAAGTGTGTGCTAATTTTGAGATTTCCCCTGCCAGATACTTAATATCATCCATCAACATATGCCGCCATCTACGTAGCCATCAGATTCTAGGCAGAAAATTATAGCATGGGTTCAATGCCTAACGTCTCGAATAACGTCTGGCGATGCAGCGGGATCAGCAACCCACTGACGAAAACAAGTGGACCCTTGTTTGAAGGTCACACCCCGTCATCTGCACAGGTCACAGGTGCAGCGTCTGCTCTGGCGAAAGTTTTGACGGATTAGAGCAGGGGACCTTAACTTTCTTTTATGTGGAAAACGTCAAGGAACAGAACTGTCAGACTTACGCAGCTTCGCACCCAGAGTCCGTGGACGGGCGGAATGTATCAAGCGCGTATATTGCTGGACTTGACATTTGAAAGGCGATACCAGACATCGAAAATTAACCAAAATGAGTGAAATTTGGTTATCACTTACCCCAGTCGGACCACTTGTGATTTGTAAACTAAGACCCCACCCTATTCAGCTGGTTTACAACAAAAGTATGTTAAAGAAGTTGACGGGACAGTCAAATGTCCCATCTGTTGTAGCTAACTTAGTCTATCACAATTTAAGTCCCTGCAAATCCATCCAGAAGGCAGATCACAAGCCGTTCAAAAATCAACTGAGACGAAAGCATTATACATATACTTGTTCACCCCACTAAATATACTTGTCTTCGGCCCACTACTTGTGACTGGTTTTGTTTGATTAGAGGGTCCGTGTTTTTATGAACGGACTTGTGAAGGAGCTCGTGTAGGCACTAGGCTGTGATGGACTCCACTGCTGATTTCTCAAAACCTTCATTCAAATTTCCCTTGTGTGTCCACTTGCACTTGAAATGCGTCCATACATCGTGAATGGTAAAAAAAAAACAGACCGGCACTGTGACACACACAATGCACAACACGAAAACTGTGTGTGCTCGATTGAAAACTTTCCGCGAGGGGTCTGAGAGTCCTCGCGACTGGTAAAGTGAACAAAAACCACCATGAAAGGCTAACCTTCTCCCCAAACGTCAGTCCATTCACTGTAACTTGCTTGTCCTTCGCTGTCGGTTGGATGTGTTCCTAGCTCTGTGGTTGGATACAGCATGCATAGTCCCAACAAGACCACTGCACCGCCACGGAACGCCATTTCTAATTAAAGTCGGTTGGGTGTGGACGTCGGCAAAAGATCGGCTAACCAGGGAGAGTTTCCTCCCAAGTGCACGCAAACTCCGTTTGACAGCATAACCCCGCGATGAACCACACTGGGGGGAGGGCTTATCATTACTCAGTGGCGATACCCACAATGCAGTAGATCTGCGGTGGCGAATTCCTGTCGCGTTTGATTCTATTTTCGTTGGAGTCAGGGTTGAAGGCTGAAAAAGAAAAAGAAAAAGTTTTTTTCGACCTTGGGAAATTCTAAAAGGATTCGACTCGTGGCAGATTTGTTCTTCGTAAAAGCTTGGTTGCCTGGAACATATGTCTGTTTAAGACTTAGAGTGGCCTTTTCCCATTTTTTTTGTTTGCATGCCCTTATGTAACATAGATCACTGTGTTACTTTGAGCTTCGTCCATGGTAATATGACAAAAAATCCTGTGGGTTAATGTTCTTTTATTATTTACGACACACCTGGTCTCCCTTTCATCATGCGATGACACAACGGCGCCTCGTCCCCGTTGCATCGGACCGTTACATCGTTCCTTCGCGACATCTCGCGAGTTTTTTTTTACATAAATACCTGGTGTTATTTTGTGCCGTTTCCCATCGCGTCACGTGATGGCAGGTCCGCATCTTGTCACTCTTATAAATGTCATTCCCTTGGGCGGGATTTTGAGAGAGGGTAACTGAAAGACTAGATGACCATTGACTCTGTTTGGGAGGAATTAGAGTTCAGTTGGTTTTCAAGATTAAAATAGATCTGTTACTTTTCCTTTCGCGAGGTTTTCGTTCTGTTTCTCAATCGATCCGCACCGTCGACTGAGTTTTTGCGGGGATGGCCCCTGATGTATTTAAGGGCAATGTACCTTGGAGTGAGCTATTTTAAACATAATTCTTTCGTCCTGCGGTTTCTCATTCAAAAATGAGTGTTGAAAGATTTTAAACTAAACTGCACGTCTGAAACCGTAAACGGTGAATCTGCCGGTTATTGTGAGAACCTCATGAACACTCAGTCACAGAAGAGATACCGTAACCTTTCCGAAGTTCGTCTGGGTCACTACGTCCACCTGTGTTGGAGTAAATGTTGAAAATTGAATTTGAAGCCTGTCATGCAAGACAGCTATCCGCAGAGCCGAAAGTAATTGGCAGTCGTCTGCTCAGCACGTAGCTAAATGTGTGGGGTCAGTTGTTTGCTGCGAGTTCTGTTTCAAACGGGACACGTATTTGTCTTTTTGTCTACCTGAGTTTAAAAAGTCGTCTGCTGACGAAAATCTAAATATTGAATAGCATTGATTGGCTGGTCTGTTTATGTTTTATAAAGTGCAGTGAATGCCCCTCGTACTGATAAACATTCTCCCCAAATAAAAATATCCTGATCACCTTTTCACCTCTGGGGTCGATTTTTATTCGCTATAATAAGTAAAAATGTTTGTCAATGTAAGTCAAAAGTCTGTTGTATTTTACAGTAATAACTAAAACAGGAGCCCTATACCTAAAGGTGATAGAAAGCCCCACTTGACACTGAATTTAGTAAAGTTTCTAGTTTACAACGTATTCAAGTTAAGTTTACTATTTTAACAATTTACTAGTTTACTACGTAGTTTGTATTAAATAATTTTGAAACAATACAAAGGACTGCTTACCCTCATCCATGCTCATCTTATTGTAGTATATTGGCAAAGCACAAGGATTAATGTGAGCACACTTCAGATTTTGTTCAATATGCCGAAAAGAATAGTTTATCCAAATGTATATCGTTCGAGGTATTTTTAATCCATTCACTAATTACACTAAACGTGCAAATCGTCTTTATTTCACAGAGAGAGAACAAGATCCCTTTACCTGAAATTTTATGGGAAACCATCATAATTTTGCATCACAAGGAGCACAAGGTAGAACATCTGGTAAGTGAAATATTACTTAATTTACCATTATATGCCTAGATGCAACCTTTTTTCACGGAAGAATGTGATATGATACATACGAGTACAGAACTTATTTGCCAATCAAAAGTGTCTGAAAAATTAAAGCGATAAAAGCACTTTCAATTTGCCGATTGTGATTCCATAGCTGAGTCACAGAACATGCACTGAACAAAGACACTTCAGGCATTCAGAACGTCAATCCAAAGCTTGTTTTGATATTCTATCTTCTTAAGAGAATAAGCCATGATTGAATGACCACTCATAGTGAAACGCCACTCTGAATTTATCTAATATCTTACTAAACAAAGGAACCTAACTTCAGGCGTATTACAAATCAACAGTCTTCAGATCCATGTGCACTAGAGAACCATCTTAACACAACCATGTGTGTAGTCTTGCATCATCTGGTTTCTACTGGCTATATCCCTGCCTTTAGAGATAAATTCATTCAGCGTAAGGTTAAAATTCCCGAGATGATTATCCGCCTCGAGCACAAGCACCCCTCCGGAGTCATCGGCTGAAAAGAGCCATGCATGTTGGTCGGGAGTACTCATTTTTTTGTTGGCAACAACCACAAGGCATGAATTTGATAGTTGTGTGTGAACCGGCGAAGTGCAGTTCCTACCACAGGAGCTTACGTTGCTAGGAAAATTGCGCTCTGTCTTGGTCTAGCGCAGGGCTCATAGCAAAAGCTGACTTTGACTTTGTACCAGGGGCGAACATTAATCCATTATGCCATGTACACGCACATATATTGGTGTGTGTGACCGTCAGGTGACGTATGTGTATACACTTTGAACATAATAGCTGATCCCTTAAACAACAATAATCTTTGTGACTGACTAGCCATTGCAAGCTGATAATGACCCTAAACGAAGGAGAGGGACATTCGCATTGCTCCCAAACATGGTCTGATGATGTGGTATTGGAAACCCGTGCACGTACAAAGTATTTGTCAACCACTGGTGGACAGAACCTCCGCCTGTGACGTGGCCCAAGAAAAGCCTACTATGGATTGAGGATGACGCCCCCAGCGACTGCAAAGATGAAGGTGAAGACCATGAAGCAGCCAACATCGATGAAGCGAGCGATTCGCGTCATTCCCTGCATAGGAAAAAAAAGGAAAGTGTAAAAACTACATGTATAATGCACTTAAAAAAAAAAGATGACACGCCTTATCTACCACAATTTCTTGCCGCTAGTTTGTCGGCTAACAGCGAGAAAAAAATTAGTTAACGGCCATACGCACTGTTATACAGTCAAGCAAAATTACATTGAAGAGATATCTAATGACAGCTCCAATCGTCAACTGTAATTCCAAGAGCTTTTGATTCGCTATTCTTGAGCGAGATCAACCAACAGGCTAACGTCAACCAAAACCTGACAATCACTTCTTACATTTCTTTCTTGCAGTCCACGCCTGCTGTATGCTCAACCAATGTTCAACTGGTAGCACTAAACCAGGGTTCCAATCACCACCATCCTCAGTGGCTTGAATAGACTAGCCTCGCTAGTCTAACTTCTTAAGCTAGCGTGTGTGATATGCAGGTTGCTCAATAACCGTACTTCTCAACTAAACATGCCCAACATCAAAAAAAGGGGAAATTTCGCACAGGCAAACAAATATCATTTATCCAATATCTCAAGTTGTGTTTTGCATGCATATGTTAGTCAGATAAGACAACAATCCTCAATTTAACATGCCTCAACAGCCAGGCGAAGATTTCCATAACAGAGAAATATAAAACTTACGGTATTGGTCTTGGTTTGCATTCCAAACTCCTCTCCATCTCCACGAGAATTATTGCTACTACTCCCCCTCACACCTCGAGACAGATTCAAAGACAACACACTCTCGACGACTGCGAAGAAGGCCAAGAAAACGCTAAAGCAGAGGAAGTCGGCAAGATAGGGTGCATCTGGGCCACGGATGGGTACGGTGAGGTTGAGGTGAACGAGCTGGAGGAGAATGCAGAGGAGCAAGATGGAGACAAAGAGGATTCTCTCGCCACAGTGAGGAGGGATGAGGAAACACAGCAGGATGAGGAGAGAGGTGACAACAGAGGGCGCCAGTACGCGAATTGTGTACTCCCGGACTTGCCGCTGCAGCATGATGTTGAACGTTAGGCTAGCGAACGTCTCTTCGCAGCACACATACCTCAGCTCATTCCTGTCCGCCGTGAAGGACAAAAGTTTCCACTGTTGGTTTGGTCGATAGTCGAGCAACCTAGCCGTCCCAGAATAATCCATGGTAAAATTGATCATGGCAGAGTCGTAACTCCAGGACTCCACCTTCAGTGAACATGCTTGGGTGTCGAACGGGTAGTACGCGAAGTGCATTTCGCAAGGGACAGCCAGTCGTATTGGAGGATAGTGATAGATGGTCCCGTCGTAATACACGAGTAAATTAACTTCTTCCTCCTCCAAAATTCTATATTGATGAAGAAAAACAAATTAAAGTACTTAATCTTGGACAAAATCTGGGGAAAATTATTGCCCAGAAAAAAAACAGAGAAAGATTGACCACAACACATAAGTGACTCTACTAAAAATGGCGACAAACCATGAGAGCATGAGTGATAACGAATGCAACTTGATATTTAGTACCAATCACTAGCGGCGGAAACGGAGGCAGGGGGCCAGTACCCCCCACACACATGCACACCCAGAGCCACATTTTCGACTGGGAGGGCCTCCCCCACACACAATTGTTGGATGGATTGAGCTATTAATGGCCGATGCCTGACGGTCCAACATCTGGCCCCCACTTCGAAAATCATTTCGCCGCCTAAACTGAAGCGCGATCCATCCAAAGGGAAAGTATGATTTGTAAAAGAAATACTCCGAACTGAAAACTATCAGTCCCAAATTCGGGATTTATAGAATTATTTATATGATTCCTCCTGATTATGGCATGTCTTATTGTAAAAACCCTATGGGATCACAAAATATTACTGTAATGAGCTCGTGCGCAGAAATACAACGATTTGGTGGAATGCACCTTTCCGATATCTATGGTCCTATCAGCCTGGCCATATGCCGACTCTTCCGCGCACGCTGTTCCCGAATGACCTTGTCTTTTTTTTTTAATACGAAGTGGTTCTTTTATAAAGGTTACATACTGAGCATGAGGTCTGAGGTCCGGGTGCCAGACTTGGCTTGCTGGTAGATTGACCACCTTGATTCCATAGTACTCGGATGGATTCCACTGGAAACGATGATCAAACCACATCTGCAAATGCATAGTGTACCCACGTTAACAACTCATGAACAGGCCAAAACGCGTTTGAGTAGAGGTTTCTGACTGGCGCTGAAAGGCGAAAACTGGCAATAACCGTTATCGACTAAAATAATTAGGAAAAATCTAATAATTTGCCTTGGCAGTTGTATGCTCGCTTTCACGCCGAGTACATGTGTGAACCGATCATTACTCATGTAAAAATATGCTTTTGTCTTTGATGGCTTCTACTCTGGAGTTGCTGCTATACTCACTATGCGTGTAATAGTGGAAATCCGCAAGATACCTTCCTTCTCGTCCTGAAAACGTAAAACAAAACAACCATCCTCAATTCAGTTACAGGAATACGTTTGATACTTTCTTGATCTGTAACTTTTGTTTTTATTAATCTGAGAAGACCTCAGGACTTCGGTGGTACCAAAGGAGTTCCTCAAGCTATATACTTGGCGGTGGGGATGAGCTAACTTTTCTCCTGATAGTACATTTCATTCACTCCGCTAATTACAGTCAAATTGTTGGAAGTGAGGTAAACTCTTCATTTTGGGAACTCGAGAAGAGAAATGGAAGCGACGCAATACAAGATAACATCTGACGAATAATTTCATCATCAAAGGTGCTTAAAATACATTGAGCCACAATTTTAAAAACTGAACTAAGGGAAGCTTAGAACGCGCCTTATAAAATAGTCTGGCATCGTTTACATTTTATAAAATAGAATCAGGCATCACTATTCAAAATGGCTAAATCCTGAAACAGGCAAAATACGGTGAATTCAACTTTTCTTTACTTTTTCTTCTTTTCTTTCTTTTGCCTTCTTTGGGGGTATTTTATTTTTGCAATAGTAATTGACCTTTGAATCAAGGCTAACGGACAATTAAATTTGTTAGTCGTACCACACCGTCCACGCTGATGAGGTCTATGCCATAAGTGACGTTCACGGGCGTCCGTGGAATGATCAGCGACTCGTAATGGCTCAGCAGCTCAGTGAGTAGTCTGTGTAGGCCGCCATGCTGCTGGTCTAGTATTCAACGGCAAAATAAAACCAAACAAAATAATAACTCACAAAGAAGGCCAAGTGGAGTCATGGGGCATGCTTGGTAGGGTATTGTCTTACTACACCCCGCCTTGCCCCTAAAACAAGATGGCCGAGAGTTCTGATATCTTTAAAAACCAATGTTTAACCAGAATTGTGTAACTGTTTTTAAAAACTCAAGTTCTCCAAAATTCCTTAAAATTAGGTGTCAGGTCTTCAAATTTGCCGCACATCCTTACCACCCTTCACCCTAAAAGAAATAATTGTTTACTTAAGTTCGAAGCACAGAGTCGTCATTTTGTTTCGCAAGCAACCAAGAAGTGATATTTGAAGAGAAATGCATGATTTTTGACCTATCACGTCTTGAATGAAGTCTCGCCCCACATCGCGACCACGCTTGACGAACCCGTGTCCGATATCAGACGATACCCCAATTTGAAGGTCACACTCTCGCCTCCTTTGGAGGTCAAAGGTGCGGCGTTCGTTAGCAGTGAGATCAAGTTGTTCGTCGTCAATAACCGAGCGGTTCATGGGAATGAAAATAGACAAACGTAAACGACTTAGTTGCACAAACTGAGTGGGCATGGGAATACAGTGTGCAGGCCTAGGTCTACAGGCAAAGCCGACAAGGATGTTTGATGTTAAAAGCACCGTGTGAGATAACAGAGGGGAGAATGCTTTATGTGGGGCTGGTCATGTTGGGGGGGGGGTCATTGTTTGACGTTTGCGTCCACAACTGACAGAGGGCACCTACGTGTATATTCAGCTGCCTCTGTCAGAGTAGTTCCATTTTTCTTGCTTATTATCTTGTTCTTACCTTCAGCAGAATAGTTGATTCCAAAGTTAACTGTTCAGACTCTTCTATTAGTGCCCCTCTTTTCTTTCACTGTCTTTTGGCCATGAGTTGCCTTCATGTACATTTTGTTTCCTTAGTTCAGTGATAGTACACACCTATTTTCTTTTCAGTGTAGGGCCACCAGTCCAGCTGCACGTTTTCATTTAGTTAGGTACATTCTTTGTGTATAGGTGTAAGAAAAAGCCCATCCTTCTTAGTGCCCTCCTTGTAGATTCAGAGGGAAGGAGTCTAAGACAAGTAGATCAGATTGCTTCTAGATAGAGAGAGAGGGTGTATGTTGTGTTGCCACTTGCTAACGTAGTTTGGAGCCTGTGCATCAGCCAACACAGTTACCTGGTGTTGGAGCCGTATACAGTTAAAAACTGTTAAAAAGCTTGACAAAAGTGGTCAAGACAGACCTGCCAAAGTTTTACCTTTTGGCAAAACTATATTAACTTGACAACGGAACTCGTCGGGAGTTTGGTGGCACGGAAAATTCAACCTGAAAGAAACACTTGAAGAAAACTCATGGCAACAAGGTCCACAAGATGGGAAAACTCGTTCTCATGTGGTCACTGAAAACCACGTCACACAGATGACGGCCTATGAATGACTGGAGGAAGACCTTGCAGGAGAAGAATCTAACAAGAACACATCTGTGAATCTGCAGTATGACTTAGGACCTAAGATTTGAATGTTGATTTTGTATGTTGTAATTTAAAGAACAAAATTAAAGAATAAAGAAAAAGATTGAAGGTAAAGTGTTTAAGTAAAGAAAGAAAGAATTGTACTCTGGAAATGTACAAGAAAAGCAATCTTGTAATCTTGGGTTTTATTAAGTGAATTTATTTACTATTCCATCTTTGTAAGACGAGGACTTTTGTAAGTGAAGAAGTAATCGGAGACAAAGTCTTTTAACCAGACAAAAACATTTCAATTTTGTAAATAAATTGTTAATATTGGAAAGGTTCCTAAGTGAAGTTCAGTTTTTACTTTCCTTTGAATTACTTGTCCCAGTATTGACAGCCTGGGTACCACCAATCCTCAAGTATATTGATTCTGTCAAGCAAAGTGCTAAATTAAATAATGTGTGGCATTGATGTGGTTTAAAGATCACACACACATAATTACAACGTTCAATCACTTGATCTCTTGCGGGAACACTTGTCAACCAACCCTGACTCCCACACCAGGGGGTATCCTGGTGTGGTATCAATACCGTTGGGCCTATTTGAAAAGGTTGGAAGACCCCATTAAGAAGCAGAAACCATGTGGAGGTCCTAGTACATTTTATTTACGGCAAAGGACAAATCAAAGAGATGAAATAGCTTCACTGTGACGGTGACAAGTTGTCACCCCCCCCCCACACACACACACATGCAGAAACAAACTCACACACAACCCCACACGAGTACATACCTACTGTGGACATTCCTTTCTTTTCGTGCAGTTAAGAAAACTCAGTGAACTCTTGAACTGGGAACACGATTTTCATCTGGATATTTGTAAAAGGTTTCCTTGACTGTTCCTCTTCCGTTTACGACGGATGACCCCTACCCCAAAATGCCTCTAAACTTCTTTTTCAGAGAAGGGGAAACGTCCTGTGGACGTGTGTAAGTCCACAGATCGCCTTCCTTTCCTGCACCGTGTGGACATCTTTTGTTCATGTATGTAAGGTTAGTGCACACACAGTTGTATATGAAACAAAAAATTCTAACCCCAGCATTAAATCCCTATTCCTCATCAAATGCTGAGTGGAGGAAATGACCTGAAATATGGTGTCTGTTAATACGGGTTAATACACCATGTTTCTTGCTCACTTAGCATTGCAACACGGTGACAGGCTTCCTCGTTCGACACGCCCACAAAAAGAATCTATTTGAGTCGACTTTTCTGGTCCTGCTTGCAAAGTAAAATGCTTGGATATTTCAAAAATCTCACCTTGTAAGTCGGCTTGCCCTCCGGGCCCAGTCAGATACAACAAACACAGTCCAACCAACACCACTATACCACCTTGGAACGCCATTTTTCCTTATGCCGGTATGTATGGCCTATCCAACGCGGCGGTGAAGTTTTTCCTCACGAACTTTTATTGCATGTACTGTAGGCCTACATGTGAGCCTACATGTGGGCATCGCCCCGAACACACTACAAACAGGAGTGCACTGAACCATTTCAAGTTTCATTGAAAATAGTGTAGAATCAACAAAGTTTGGAGCCCCATGGTAGGCAACTGAAGTCCCTGAAGCCTCTCAAACAAAAAACAATGTGTTGTTTGGTCCTTCAGATTTCATTTGATTTTCAATTTTTAGTAGGTTAACCAATGAATTTTTTAAAGTATCCGCCAAAAACAAACTCAACCCCCCCCCAAAAAAAGGAATGTTCCCAAGTCTTCTCAGCTGCCATTTTTCAAATGACACCCCTCATCTTCCGTGGGCTCTTCTGATAAATTTTCAGTCACATTTTCGTTTGCTTTGCCCCCAGATGGGTGCCCCTGAATCTACAGAGATGATCCTGGACCATACTGACACAATCCCAAAATTTCTTGGCCCAAACAGACCCATCTTTTCGCAAGAAATTGTGGGAGTATGGCCAGAATCATCTCTGTAGATTCGGGGGGCCTCCATCTGGGGGCAAACCAAACAAAAATGTGTTTGAATTTTGTCAGAAGAGCCCGAGGAAAGTGAAGGATGTCATTTGAAAAATGGCTTCTGAGAAGACATGGGAGCATTCACCTAGGGGGTTGTTTTGGCAGATAATTTTAAAAATTCATTGGTTAACCTACTAAAAATTGAAAATCAAATGAAATCTGAAGGACCAAAGAAGACAATTTCTTTCGAGAGGCCTCAGGGACTTCAGGTGCCTGCCAAGGGCTCCAAATGTGGTTGATTTTACATTGTTTTCAATGGAGGCTTTTTTTGGAACTTGAATTAATTCAGTGCACCCATAGAATGCGGTAGTCGATTTACTTATTCGGCTCGCGGGTCGGCATGTCACGGCATCTTGCTGCGATGCAGGGCCTGAGCTTGTTCCTTGTTCGATCAGTGGTGTAACACAATACTGTTCAAGCAGTTGCGATTTGCTTTCGTTTTCTTCGATTTTGTTTTCGGGTGGTAGGATTTGAAAAGGCTCTAGAATTGATCGACCTTGGGAAATATAAAGGTCTGTGTCTGTGATGTGTTTGTGTTGAGGGGGCGGACACAATGACTCTCAGCAGACTCTAGAAATGGCATTAGGGACTAAGCTTGTATGATTTACATACGCAAGGATCCTGGGGCATCAACGAGGGTCATGCATGCCCCTCTCCCCCTCCCAAAATGGAAAAATCGTTTAGTTTTCTGAAAATTAATAAGAGAAAGCCGATTTAGGGGTGAGGTCCTATGCGCGAAAAGCCAACAAATTTAGCCAAGCTATAACAGGTTACTCATAGAAATTCCCCATATTTTTGCCTCTCCAAAAAATGTCACCCCCTTACAAAAAGTGACATTTTAATTATCACCTCAATTTACCATTGTTTCAGTCAGCCAGATCAGAACTTGAAGAGCGCCCTCTGTAGTTTATAAGAAAGACAGAAACACCATGCTTGTCAGGCAGTAATGTTTTTCTATCAGAAAATTTTGTCCAAAATGTGACCAGTTTTTACAGCTTATACGGAGAAATTTCACCGGACCCCTTTTATAGAGACACTAGTAAGTTTGCATTTAAGAGTTGGTTGAAAGAATTACCTGAGAATTTATACAAGAAATGTTGCATGGTACTTAATATTAGATCAAGTCAGTTTGTAGTGCTTGTAATGTACCTTGAAAAAAACTCACAGAGGATTGGAAGTTTAAAAAAAGACTTGATTTTTTAATCAATTAGCATTAGTTGTTTGATGAAGTTACTACACCCGGTCTATTTTCGAAGTTTGGCATAATTTCCATGTAGAAAGTGTGAATTTCGTCAAGAATTAGTTAATCACATTTGAAGTAATGATAAATTCACCAATGTTAGTTTTACAAGCCATCTAGAAAAGAGTCGATGTACGCACGCCAGTTACGATTTTGCTAAATATAATTTGCTGCATTTAAACCCTCTTTGGAAATGTAGTTATTTTGCACGCACTGAATACAGGTAATTTTTAGTTGTTTGTGATATTGATACTTTTCACATCGAATAATGCAACACTTCTCTGAGTCCAAGGTGCTGCTGCACTTCTGAGGATCCATCCATTTATTAATAAACCTGCGTACAACCTTGCTACACAGAGAAACGTGAAACATACGAGTGGAAACTTTTTAATCAAAGAACAAAAGTGTCTGAAAACTGAAAGGGATAAAAGGAAAACAAATACGAATAAATGCTCTTAAGTGAACTGTGAAAGGAGGCTTTTATGGTCTTCTACCAAAGGTTCCTACCAAAGGAGCTTGCGTCCTCGCTTGGTCCAACTCGGGGCTCATAGCAAAAGCTAAAAATGGCTGTGTTCCAGGCGCGAACAACAACAATCTATGCCATGTACACGCACATACCGTCGATGATTTCAGAAAGTGACAAAAACCTCCCTTTCGAGCAGAGCAGACATCCGGGAAAAATGCGTTGTAAAATATAACCTATTTCATCCTACAAATTTTCGACCACTTCTGTTTTACGGACTGTGGAATTGTTGCCTAGTCATGCAAAGTAAGGTTTTAAAATGCTAATCCACACTCATTTGTAGATTTGTTTTAATTTTTTTAAATAGTGATTCATAAACAAACGTGTTTGTCACTTCACTAGATTATACGCGTGGGAAGATAATGTTGTTGCATTTAACATCTTGATGCGACCAGATCTGTGTTTAATCTCTATTTTGCCCTGGTACAGAGGAAGTTTTTATCACTTCGTGAGACCAAAAATCCTAGAGACCGAGCTTTTGTCAAATGTTTATTTACGAAAAAAAAGTAAACAGCATTCTGCTGTAATACTGTGCCGCAAAAACACAAAATCGAAAAAATATAGAGTTTTCTAGGTTCTTTTTTAAATACTTCTTGAGATCATCGACGATGCATTGGTGTATGTGACCATCAGGCCACGCATGCATAATAATACACTCTGAACATTAATAAGTATTCTACAATAAGAAAATGTGCTTATCCAATCTTAAACAAGACTTGGTATGTTTGTGACTGGCTAGGCTTTGGAAGCTGGTAATGGCCCGAACCGCCAGAGAAGGAGAATGTTACCAAGCATGGTCTGTGGTATCAGCAACCCATACACGTACAGAGTTTTTGTCAACCAATGGTGGACAAAACCTCCGCCTGTGATGACGTGGCCCAAGAAAAGCCTACTATGGATTGAGGATGACGCCCCCAGCGACTGCAAAGATGAAGGAGAAGACCATGAAGCAGCCTACATCGATGAAGCGAGCGATTCGCGTCATTCCCTGCATAAAAAAGGAAAGTGTAAAAACTACATGTAGGCCTACAATGAATAAAGAAGGATGACACGTCTTAGTCACCACAATTTGTCGCCAGGATTTTCTCGACTAGCAGTGAGAAAAATTTGAAAGAGGATAGTGCGCCTTTACATGTAAATTTAGTTAACGGCCATGCAAACTTTTATGCAAACAAAATTACATCATAAGAAATATCTAATGACAGTCCCAATCGTCAACTGTAATTCCAAGAGCTTTTGATTTGCTATTTTTGAGCGAGATCAATAAACTGGCTAACGTCAACCAAAACCTGACAATCACTTCTCACATTTCTTTCTTGCAATCCACGCCTGCTGCATGCTGCGCCGGCTGATCCGCCAGCCGTACAATTAACGAAAGACGCTCTACCGATGTTGAACTGGTAGAGCTAAACCAGGATTCCAATCACCACCATCCATAGTGGCTTGAATAGACTAGCCTCGCTAGTCTAACTTCTCAAGCTAGCGTGTGTGATATGCAGGTTGGTCACTAAACGTAGTTCTGATCTAAACGTACCCGACATTAAAAAAAGATCAAACAAATATCACTTATCCAAGATTTTAAGCTGGGTTTTGCGTGTTAGTGAGATGAGATCACAATCCTCAATGTAGCATGCCCAACACAGCGAAAGGAAGATTTTCGAAACAGGGGAAAAAATCGTACGGTAGTTTAGACTTGAAATTAGGTCTACACTTAATTCACTTACAGTACTGGTCTTGGCTTGTATACCAAACTCTTCTGTATCCTCACGACAGTCACTCTTCCTACTCTCACTTACACCTCGAGACAGATTCAAAGACAACACACTCTCGACGACTGAGAAGAAGGCCAAGAAAACGCTGAAGCAGAGGAAGTCGGCAAGATATGGTGCGTCCGGGCCACGGATGGGTACGGTGAGGTTGAGGTGGAAGAGCTGGAGGAGAATGCAAAGGAGCAAGATGGAGACAAAGAGGATTCTCTCGCCACAGTGAGGAGGGATGAGGAAACACAGCAGGATGAGGAGAGAGGTGACAACAGAAGGCGCCAGTACGCGAACTGTATACTCCCGGACTTGACGCTGCAACATGATGTTGAACGTTAGGCTAACCCACGTCTCTTCGCAGCACACGTACTTCACCACATGCCTGTCCGCCGTGAAGGATTGTACTTTCCATTGGTTATTGGGCTGTTCATGGGTCGCCAGTTCAGCCGCCGGATAATCAGGTAAGGTGAGGTTGATCATATTGCCGTCGTAGCTCCAGGATTCCACCTTCAAGGAGCACGAGTGGCTGTCGAACGGGTAGTAAGCAAAGTGCATTTCACACGGGACAGCCAGTCGCATTGGAGGGTAATGATAGATGGTTCCGCCGGAATGGATACGCAAGTTCACTTCCTCCTCCTCCAAAATTCTTCATAGATAGGGGAAAACACATTAAAGGTTTGTTTGTCTTTAAAAATGTACCTTTGTTTCTTCTTATCCTAGCTCACAAAACTTTTCTGGCAGATATATTAGGGATACAGCTGGATGGGTATAAAAAAATGCCAGATTCTTAATTCTGTGGTCGATTTTCTGATCTTAGTGTTGTATCGTTTGATTCAGTTAATGATTTTTGGGCAGACCTGTGTCTAAAGTGACGTGACGTCATGGTAATATAGCCGTCATTAATTGTGAGCAGCATCATTGAACATGTGAGAAAGGAGCACTGTCTTCACATAAAGCAGATCAAGGGTGTTTAAATTATGTCAGGAATTTCCGAAAAGATATTTCCGTAATGTATTTTCTTCAGTGTTAAGTCCATACCGAAAATTGAATTCGAAATTGTGCCAAAATGTTTCCTAATTATACATGGCGCCCTACTCAAAAGTTCAATCAAGGGACATATGTGGAAAGTGAGAGCAAAACGAAAACAAATTTATGTAAAACCTTTCTTCGTCCAAACCATAAAGTACAGGCCATAACAAATTTAGTCAGCTTCAAACATTAAATTTACACACTGTGCATGAGGTCTGAGGTCCGGGCCCCAGAGTTTCTTTGCTGGTAGATTTACCCACTGGATTCCATGGTACTCGGATGGATCCCACTGGAAACGATGATCAAACCATTTCTGTAAATAATTATATAATGCTGACATAGTTATAATGCTTACAACTTACATACCGGCCAAAACACACGGGTGGAGAGGTTTCTGACTGGCGCTGTAAATCGGAAAATGACAAACCATTATCGACTACAAATTCTGTAGGTTAACTAATTGCAAAATTCGCTTAGATTTTGAGGGCTGGACTCTCTCCCAACTCAGGCTGGAAGTACAAGCAGGATGAGTCTGCGCTGTATAGTACACAAAAGTGGCGACACAATTTGTGGCCGTTGAAGACGGTAAATTTGTCATGACTGTAAAACTGTCCACCGTGGGCTATTATTCTATCCCCTCCAGGTAATTTTGTCCATATGCTCTGTATATTATTTTTATGAAATCAATCCACAGACAGGAATTTTTAGAGTTTTCTCCCCTTCATGAAGCTATCAAAGTAAAAAAAAATTCGAAATAATAATGCAATAATGTGAATCGTTCCAGCTATCAGAAAGGGTATTCTGCACCTTCTTGCAGTGTGGCTAACTCATCGTATCCGTCTCGAGAAGAAGCACACCCTCATTGTTGGTAGCAATGCGACTGCAATGCTTGCGTTTCAAGTCGTTCGTGAACCAGCAACGGGCAGTTAATACCAAAGGAGCTTCGCTCGTCCCCCAGCGCCCAAACGGGGCCCAACCGTGGCTGCCCTGGAACCACGCCGTCATTACTGCGGGATGCATTACACTCTTCAAGTGATAATTTCTGCCGAGCTCATTTACATGAAAGGGGTTTCTTTTGAAACAAGGGAAATTGTTTGGCCGAAACAATTGGGGTCATGCATGTAAAGATACAGGTCAGGGTTAACGCCCTGGGTTAGGAGGCTTCCAGGAGGCAAAGTTGATAAACCCTGGAGAGAAAACACAATAATTTACCTATAGGAGAACACATTTACCAGGAAGACATTGGCAGTGGTGGGTTGGGAAGTATGTTGTGATCATGAATACGGGTGTTTCACTGTAGTGCGCCTCCAAGAGTTTGCAACTTGTTGACCAATCACAATGCACGAAATCTGTCGACCCTTTCCCAAACGCGCATTAGCTCGACAAATTTCGCTAATCGTGATTAGTCAACGCGTTGCAAACTCTTGGAGGCACACTATTGTGACTCGCCCGTATTGCTCACTGATTTAAGGGGGAATCCCGCTATACGCACGCAAAAGTGTGCCTTTAGCTTTGTTTTGTTCATTCTGCTCTGGATATTTATAGTTACTCACGATGCGTTGAATAGTAGAAATCCGTAGGATACCTTCCTTCTCGTCCTGAAAAAGCAAACCAAAACAACCAACCAAATTTATGAGAATATGCGAAGTACTTCCTTCCTTTTCAGTAAGATGATGTATTTTCGGAATTCTAATCTGAGCAGATTGCGGTCACGGTGGAATCAAAGCAGTTCGCTCGAATCGAACTTATAATTGACACTATAGGGATGAGCTAAAGTACATGCGTAGACTTTATTCAGTCGGCTGAATTATTGGAAATGCGGTGAAGCCTCCATTTTGTGAATTTAGAAGAGAAACGAAGGCAACAAAATAACGCTTCATTAAAAATCAATACCTCACCAGCTTCCCGTGGTGCATGAATAATTTGAAAAATCTTGTGATCAAAGATATGCTTAATGTTTGGAGCCACATTTCAAAACCTTTAAATAAGGGAGACTTTGAACGCATTTAAATCACAGACTGGTCTGGCACCATCCCATTCAACAGTTCAAATAAAAAGAAAACAACAGAATTAAGGGGCCTGATCGAAATTATGACATGCATATGAACTTAAAACTTTCCACTCATTTTTTGTTCTTTTCTTTCTTTTTTTTGGGGGGGAGTATCATTGTAAAAAGAAATCGACTTCTGAATCAAGGCTAACATGCAGACGGTTAATTTGTTAGTCATACCACACCATCCACACCGGTGAGAACCATGCTATAGGTGACGTTCACAGGCGTCCGCGGAATGACCAGAGGATTGTAGAGACCCAACAGGTAAGCAAGTAGTTTGTGCCGGCCGCTGTGCTGCTGGGCTATTATTCATCGGCAAAATAAAAATCAAACAAAATACTAATCCACTAACAAGGTCAGGTAGAGTTATGGGACTTCCTCGAGAGGCTAGTGTTATGTCTTACAACCTTGTCCTGCCCCCCCCCCATGACCGAGAGTTATGACCTCTTTGAAAACCAACATTTAACCAGAATAACAGACCTCTTCACTAATAAATTCATAATTATGCACGCATGCGCACAAATGGCCTTCTTGCCGCCAAGGCCGTTCGTGCGCATATGTGCATAATTATGAATTTATTAGTGAAAAGGTCTATTGTGCAACTGTTTATAAAAAACTTCGCGAAAACCTCCTTACAATTAGATGTTAGGTCTTCAAATTCCCCACACCCTCATGCCACCCTTCCCCCCAAAAAGAAATTATCGCTTGGATTAGTTTAAAGTACGCAGACAGCGATTCAAACTGATGACATGCGTACATGAACTTCAAACTTTCAAAAAATTGGCTGCAGTCATCATTTTAGTGTTTGCAAGCAACCACGACATGCATTCGACCAACAGTCTACCTATCATGTCTTGTAGGAAGTCTAATCACACATCGCGGCCGCACTCACGAGACCCTAATTTGAAGGTCACACGCTCGTCATCAATGGAGGTCAACGGCGGCAGGGGCTGATCCAGCATTTTTTTGGGGGGGGGGGTTCGCCGGGCCTGTGATTTTTGTAATTCATGTCTCTTTTTTGGTGGATACGGAAACAAATATATTATAAGGGCCACTTGCAAAAAAAAATTTGATAGTTTTTGAGATAGTAACTTGCCGCGGCAAGATAGTAACTCGATTTTTTTTTACGTTTCCATATGCGGACAATCGGAAACAATGACGAAATATTTCATGACGTACCGGTGCATCGTTTACATTGGTATTGGTAAACATGTATACATAAGAGGAATCTGCAGGATGCTATCCTGGTTCTCAATTTTCTTTTCGTTATTTTTTATTATGTCCCCCGTTTTTTTAAATTTTCTTTGTCTCGGAGCAGGGGGGGTTTGACCCCAACACCCCGGATCCACGCCTGGGTGCGGCGCTCGTTAGCAGTAAGATCAAGTTGTTTGCTGTCGGTAACAGAAGTTCAAGGGAATGAAACTATTCTGCAAACATACGTGACTTGGCAGTGTGTGGGTGTGGGTACAGGATGTCTGAAAATGATACATGAATGCTGAACAGGACGGTAACTGAGCACTGTGTGGAATAACTGGGGGGGTGGACACTAAGGGGGCTGGCCACGTTGGCGGAAAACTAGTCCTTCGTTCAATGTTTGCGCCGTCCATCGCTTACAGAAAGTGCCTGCGTTGAACTGCCTCAGTAGGCCTACAACTAATTTGTAGTATTTTAAATTTACAAGAATACTGACTGATAAACTTACCGTATCAACGAAGTGTTTAATATGTGACGTGGATCTGATTTAAAAATCACAATCACATGATTACAAACGCTCAAGTTACTGAATAGCATATCAGAAACTCTGTGACGAAATGTACCAGGCGCCCCATGGTGCGGACCCAGGGGGCCCAATGCTCATTGCCATTTTAGCAGACCACGAAAAATCATATAAGCAGAAAACATCGAGGGGTCTCATTTTGCATTCTCGGTTAGGCCTAAGGACAAAACAAAGTGATGCAATGGCTTCGGTGACAACTACATTTTGCCCCCACCCCCCCAGCAAAAAGTTTCCACCCCCAGCCAAAAATCCGGGATCCGCCCTGCACATGCATCCTCGTATTCCTCATCAAAAACTGAGGGAAATGACCTGAATACTACTGTCAGTTGCAATCCACCATGTGTCCTTTAAGCGTAAAGACACTTGAGGAGCACTGGCCGATTTCTGCCTATTACGTGTAAACTAAAGTCTTTGGAAAATATCCCCTTGAATCAAATGCGATAAACAGTGTAGGTTCCTAGTAAATCGTAAGAGGTCGAGACCTTTTCTCCTAGAAAAATTAGGCAAACACTATCAAGCTCACAAAAAGGATCTACACGACTTGACTTTTTAGTTCTTTTATATAATCAAAGTAACATTTCAAAAATCTCACCTTGTAAGTCGGCTTTCGACTCATTATAACTCCCTTGCCCTCCGCAGCCACTCAGATAGAACAAACACAGCCCGACCAACATCACACTACCTCGGGACGCCATTTTCCCTATGATAGTATAAGGGTACCTACGCAGCTGTGAAGTTTTCCTCACGAATACAACTTTTGGGGCATGTGTGGCAGAACACCGTCTCGGGCCTGCAACCAGAATGTGGTGGTGTCAATTTACCAACTCAGGTCGCGGGTCGACCTGTCGCGGCGTCTCGCCCGTGCTTGGCATGCGATGCCGGGTCCAGGAGCTGTACACAATACAAGCGGTTGTGATTTCTTTCGTTTTTGCCGATTTTTTTTCTGTTGGTATGCTTTAAACAGGTTTCATGGAATCATGAAAGCAGGTGTCTGTGATGTGTTTGTGATGAGGGGCAGACACAGGGACTCTCTGCAGACTCTACGTTTTGCATGAAGGTATTTTGGGTTATTCGTGGAAAAAAAAAGGTAGGCCTATGATTTACATACGAGTGGATCTTGGGGCACCAACGTGGGCCATTCCCCTCCCCCTGCCGAAGGGACAAAGTTTCTTAGTTTTCTGAAAAATAATGACAGAAAACCGATTTGGGCAGGGGCGTCAAATGCGTGGGAAGCCCACAAATTTAGCCTCACCCCTCAGAAGGTTACATAGAAATTACCAATTTTGCCCCTCCGAAAATTCCCCCCCCCTCCAAAAAAAAAAATGGTTCAGAGTCTGCTCGTGGACATACTTTATATGTCCAACAAATCCAACTTTTACGTCTGTTTTGGGACTGCTCTGTGGCAACTTTTTTCCAGCTGTAATCTCCACGACTACACTGTTTTTGTGTCATAAGTTTTTCCGCTGCCGAAGTGAGTTTTACAGAATAATGCCAAGGTTTTTTCGAAAAAAATTGTCATTTCAGTGGAGAGTTATAAGCCGTAAAAGAGGAATGCCCGGACAGTCTTCACCTGCGCTTGTGGTGAGAAAAGAATATTTGACAAAACATATGCATAGTGTCTAGACTAGACCCATGCACTCAGCTCTCATAATATAGTATTAAAGCGTAGCCAATTTGAATGAGGAGGATCTAACCGTGGTAGGTTAATTTGGTGTTTTGTGATGAATATAACCCAGGGTAGCCTATGGATGAATTTGGTGTTTTGTGATGAATATAACCCAGGGTAGCCTATGGATGAATTTGGTGTTTTGTGATGAATATAACCCAGGGTAGCCTATGGATGAATCTGGTGACCATAGCAACAGTATCACTTTTAATTTTGCATTGGCCCAAAAGAGATAAAGAACCAGTTTTTTTTTTTTTTCGGGGATGCAATATTTTGGGCGGGCAAACATCTTGAAAATTTGCTAGGTAACTTTTTTATTGCCACTCTGACGATTGGGGCAACATTTTGGGACTTTTTTATGGAATGAAGGGAAAGAAAGAAGACCAAAATAAAAAAGCCTTTCTCTCATTGTTTTTCGAATCAGCTATAGGCCTATTTCTCTCCTTTTGAAAGGACCCATCGGGAGCCAGCCTTGGCTGACGGATTCGCCAGTGAGTGGCCCCCGCCAATGGCGGTAAGCGTACTCTTTTGTACTGAGCCATTGTTCGGTAAGTCACTTTGTATTTAAAAAAAAAAAAGATTCAATATGTCACAAAAAAAGCTCTCCGTCATCAAAGGGGGCTATCAGAATGAACGGTGAAACGACACTGGATTCATATATCGAAACGACACATCTGTGCATAGCATAAGTCCTATGAAACCAACCCTCTCTGGCTGTTAGTAGCCACGGTCACGGTGGCCAGTCAGAGCTGTTTATAGAAGGAGTTGCGACATGATTTTCTCAGTCGTTAAAACCTACATGGTGGATTATGTTGAGATGCGTGCGTAACTGACAAAATCATGGTTCGATTCACACTCAGTCAAGGCTTGCAGTCGTATCGTTCAGCAAGTGAACCTGTATGCCACTGCATAAGTCCAGAGTCAGACATGAATCTGCTATGGAAATGATCGTGGTAATTCTCCCCTGCCCCAAAGCATGCAAAACTTTGAATGAATCTGGCCTAGGCCGACCGTGCTTGAACTGAACCTGTCCCGAATCTCGCAGCCACGTCCCTTGAGCTCCATGGTTTGGTTTCCCGAATTCAGTCCCTGGGGTTGAACTCTGGCTTAGTGCATCACCATGTGACCACTTCCTGCTTTGTGGAACTAAACTTGAAGTACAGCATTTTCAATCTAGTTCCACACTGTAAAAACTGACGCCCATTATAAATTTGCCTTTAATAACATTATCAACACCAAATGTGTCGTGTGGAAATTTATTAACTCATCAACACGCAAGTTTTGTTAAGAAAAATGAACACCTTTGTTTTGAATTATCAACAGCACAACACGTTCACAAAGTGTTCTCAGGAAGGCGCTTAAAAGGCGTTAAACCTGAAAGACATTCTATGATCATTACAAATGTGAAGTTTGAACTCAATCAGACACGTATAGTTTTGTTGTTCCGGTCATTTGAAACTCAAGGCTTCATGCATGCCAGTCCGCCGTGCATTCGGAGCACCGCAGTGGAAACAATATCTGACTCGTCTCGGAAAAATTCGCGCGCTGCCCAAGAACAGTATGTTTGATTTTCGCCAAATTGGTGTCAAAATGACCGCAGAGTTCCACTTCTCTAAAAACTCCCAAGGGCTAAACTGGTGATTCAGGAAAATGTTGGG